ATTATTAAAAAAAAAAAAAAATTCAATAAACGCAAAATTTATTGAAAAATACTGAAATAAATGTAATACAATACTATTTTAAATAAATGACAATACTGAAATAAATGTAATACAATACTATTTTAAATAAATGACCAATTCTTGCAAATTATAACAATTCTTAATCTTCAAGAGTGGAAAAATGTTAAATGCAAATAATGTAAAAAATCTAAGAAATTTATTCAAGTTAAAAGTAAAATGACGCTTTAACCGCTAATACACTCAGGTACCAATTAATAATTCCCTAGGTGGCCTGACTCATTGGTAACTTTTTAAATGATTCAATTCTAATTTCACAATAAATTGCATAAATAACTCATCTTTTCGAGTATTATTATCAGCAATATGTTTCACTGATTAAAATTGTACACCAAAATTGTAACATCTGTTATTATTACTTATTGTGAGAGACTGCAAAGTTCAATAAAATATTTCACCATGACCTCGTGATTGATTAAACTGTAACACGTAATTCTTAAAATTCCTACAGAATTCTCCAAAAATTAGTAATAGTAATAAAAATGTATCAGTCTTCAATAAATGATATTATTTGTTGCACTTTAAGAATTTATGTTTAAGAAGTTAATTTTTGCATACATTTTATAATTATTAAATAAAACAATATACAGTATATCCCCAGATTGAGTTTACAAGAAGAAAAAAATTGTATCTTTGTTTTTAGCCAAAACTGCAAAAGAAAAACATTTTTTGCATGACCTGAAACGAACAAATTTGAAATTAAAACTTCATTATTCTGACTCAGTGGAAAGAAAAGTTCATTTTTGTCTCGATTATGAACTTGTTTACGCAAGTTAAATAACAAAAATGTTTGTGAAAACCAATTTTAATAAATGCAACTCAAAGAAACAGCTTTAAGTTAAAAACAACAAAAACAATCATTTTCCAATTGACAAACCGTCAAAAAATTAAACCGCTAATGTGATTAGACTTAAAAAGTCCAAAATCAAGAGAAAAATTAACTATTCTTTCCAGTGACTCAGAGATTTGTTCGTTTCAG